TTTCTTGAAGCTCCTGGCCTCACACAGTTGCCCATAGACGTACGTTTTTACTCGTGATTTGGCAGATGCGCAGAGTCAGGAGGATGATAGTGATTATGACAACAATGCGGATGAGTCTGGGGATGAGACACCCTTCCATGATAAGGGTGATGACGAGGAGGAGGAAATGAATGTTGAACCTGAGCTAACTAGGGAGCATGTTCCTCCACCTCCAGCTAGACCAAGAGTGTATGAGTCCCACGTGCCATTTCATGAGCGAAATATTCCCTACCTTGATAATTTGCCAAGCATGCCTAACGTTGATGCCCTAACAAGGGATGATGATGAATTACGGTCAGTGATGTGGGATGAATCTAGACCAGCTGTTCTTACAAAGGGCATGTATTTCCCCGATAAAGCTCGCCTAGTTAGGGCTGTAAAAATCTACAGTATAAGGGAGTGTCGTGAGATGACGGTAAGTGAGTCAACTACGGAGAAATACAAGGCTGTATGCCATAGGTGGTTTATGGGTTGTCACTGGATGCTGCGTGCCACAAAGAAGAAATCAGGTTTGTGAAAAGTGGGTAAATTTATTAGCGAGCACAGATGTGAAATGGACACATTCAATGAGAATCACTTCAATTGGATGTGGACTTGATTTCCCTTGTCTTGATTCCATTTTTGGAAGTGTCCATTAGGTTCAAGATTAAAGAGTATATTACAGCCGTCCACCAGGAGTATGGTTGTACTATAACCAAAAGAAAGGCATATCTCGGTCGCAAACGTGACTTTGAACTTATTTATGGCGACTGGGATAAGTCTTTTTCAAATTTGCCCAGGTACATGGCTGCACTGCAACACTTTAACCCCGGGACTGTTGTTGAATGGAGGAGTGAGCGAAGTCCGGACAGACCGGAATATATATTCAACTATGTATTTTGGTCATTTAAACCAGCAATTGATGGTTTTATGCATTGCCGTCCTGTAATTTCCATAGACGGTACTCATGTCTATGGAAAGTATGATATTAAGCTTTTGATTGCAGTTGTTGTAGATGCCAACGGACAAATATTTCCACTAGCTTTTGCCATTTGTGCCAACGAAAGTGAAGAGACGTGGACGCAGTTCCTGAACCACTTGAAGCAGCACGTTGTCAAACAGCGTTCAGGTATTTGTCTAATATCTGATCGGCATGGTGAGCATATTTACCTGTCCGTCCACCAACATATCTAACACATCCCTAAGAAGGGGGAGATTATGGTGAGCATCCGTCCCTCGGTAGTTCCCACGCCGGAGAATCCACCTGATAGCTAGAGGGAGAAACGGATAATCCTGACCGGGCGGAAGTACTGGTAGAGGTGGCTGCAACGGCATGATCCGCTGCCAGGACCAAACCTAAGATAAAATGTTGATGTAAATTTATGAGTCATTTCACGATATAGAATTTGGGGTAACAAACAATGTCTTCGGAAATTTTTTGCACCTGAAGGAGGGGCAGAAAACCACATATATCAACCGTTGGACCTACGCTCGCGCGGCACATGCTCGTATAGAGATACGCCAGAACAGTAGCACCCCAGCTGTACTGGGGTAGCTCATCCAGCTGCTCAAGACAATGAAGAAAGCGCATACTCACTTTGTTCCCCGAGGTGTCCGGAAACAAGACACACCCGAAAAGCAGGAGCAACGCTAACCGAGTGTACCGCTGAATCCAAAGATGCTCTGTCTCGTGGGTAATATTTGGGTGCAATACCGCCATCTGATCTCTAATGAATGATAAAGCCACGCGGCTGCCACCCCGATCACCCTGCGGTCTCGAACCAGTCAACTGCCCTATCATGTCCGCCAACTGTGCACGTGTCATCCTTCTCCAGTGGTGGGGCAGTGCGAAGGCGCGCCCCTCTACCCGCAGTCCATATAAAACCTGGACATCCTGCAACGTGATAGTAGCTTCTCCAGTGGGCAAGTGAAATGTATGCGTCTCCGGTCGCCACCGCTCTACCAAGGACGTGATGAGCGACCAATCAAGCTGCATCCGTCCAAGCTGAAAAATGGTATATAATCCCGAAGTCTGGAGGATCTCTACTATGCGCGGATGGAAAGGATGCTCCGCAATAAACTCCCACAAATCATCAGGCCTCCTGGGGCGGAGAGGCTGCATCGCTAGCTGTCCCTCCCAAACATAGGATGACCTATGGTCGCCCTGCAGCACTAGTAGCTGATCCTCAGCAGGTCCAGGATGCGCAGGCGGAGGAAACACCATGTCGTCAACATTTTTAGATTTTTATTAACTTAATAAATTAATTTAAGTATGATTTTTGAAATTGGAGATAATAGTTATGTATGGGTTCCAGGCTTGATTTTTGACGCCCGGTGCCACCGAATAATTCTTAATTATTATAAGTCTCAATTTCAACATTTTTAGATTTTTATTAACTTAATAAATTAAATTAAGTATGATTTTTGAAATTGGAGATAATAGTTATGTATGGGTTCCAGGCTTGATTTTTGACGCCCGGTACCACCGAATAATTCTTAATTATTATAAGTCTCAATTTCAACATTTTTAGATTTTTATTAACTTAATAAATTAAATTAAGTATGATTTTTGAAATTGGAGATAATAGTTATGTATGGGTTCCAGGCTTGATTTTTGACGCCCGGTACCACCGAATAATTCTTAATTATTATAAGTCTCAATTTCTACGCTAAAAGGCTCTACATTTTACTACGCTAAAAGGCTCTACATTTTACTTCGCTAAAAGGCTCTATATTTTACTTCGCTAAAAGACACTATATTTTACTACGCTATAAGGCTATACAATATGAACATAACATCAACAATACAAATAAACAAAATAAATAATATTATTTAACACAAACAATCAAGTACCATTTTTGGTCACAAACATAACATAAATTCGGATATCAAATAAATCAAACCGGGTATATAAAAGAAACAAAATTAAACACTAACATAACAAAAATTCATATGGAAACATACTAAACAATACAAATGCATGACTATATGAGTTTCCGCATAAACTAAATTGAAATACCTCGATGTAAATATTATTGAAATCGAATTTTTGCACCCGAAACACGCAATCCAAAACTTCTTTTGTGTGTGGGACCTACACTTCTTGCTCTTTATGAGACGGATGGGGCCGAATTTTTTTTTTTTAACTGTAGCCGGGGTGGGGGACCAGAAAGTTGGAGGCTTGATTTTTTAATGGAGATCGTTTTCTGTGGGAAGAAGACGACCCGTTTTTATATTAGGGCAATTCGTAGTTCAGTACAACGAATTGTAATTCGCAGTACTGTACTACGGATTGTCATTAAAAAATTTTTTTTTTTTAAAACTTCGAAATGCCTTAACGGCAAAAAATCCGTTAACCCAATTCGCAGTATAAAACTGCGAAATACCCATTAATGTACCTTTTTTTTTTAAAACATTAAAAAAGTACTTTTTGTACAAAAAATTATCATTTAAGTTTCGGACTCTTTAAACAAAAGGAGTCGTCCAAAACCTAAAAAAACAAATTACTACCTTAAAAGCGTACCAACGTTGTTAGAAGTCGCTCTTCCCCAAAAGGGTTGGTCCATTTGACAATTGAAGGCGGAATATGGCTTTGGTTTTAAGCAATATTCATTTAAAACATACAGAACAAATGTTGTACTTTCACATCTGAATTATTAGATTTAATGCATATTATTCTCTCATTCTAATTTTGCTTTACTGAAAACTATACTGCGAATTGCTCTCAATTTGTAGTATTGTACTGCGAATTAATTAAAATTTTTTTTTTTAGTTAATAATTCGCAGTACTCTACTGCGAATTACTTTAACGGCTAAATTTCTGTTAAAGTAATTCGTAGTATAGTACTGCGAATTAGGTATTTAGGTAACTTTTTTTTTTAATAATAAAAATATATTTTTTGTGCAAAAATATAATTAGAAAAGTTTCAGACTCCCCAAAACTCCCTCCTCGTTTCCTTAAACCCCTCCTTCCCAACTCCAACTAATAAAGGAAATCAAAAACCAAAAAATTCTCTCTCTCATAATTTCCTTCATTCATGGCTTTCCTTCAATATTATCAGTTTTCACTTCTTTTACTCTTCTTCTTCTTCTTCTCTTTCCCACTTTCTCAACCCATGTCCATTCATGATCTCCTCAAATCCAAAGGCTTACCAGCTGGTCTTCTCCCAAAAGAAGTAAAATCTTACAATTTTTCATCAAATGGCCTTCTTGAAGTTTTCTTAAATGGCCCTTGTTTGACAAAATTTGATACTATGGCCTTTTATGAAAGTTATGTTAAAGCTAATTTAACTTATGGTTGTCTTACTGGAGTTCATGGACTTTCACAAGAAGAGCTTTTTGTGTGGCTACCAGTTAAAGGAATTAGTGTTGATGATCCAAATTCTGGTCTTATAATTCTTGATATTGGCTTGGCTCATAAACAACTTTCACTTTCACTTTTTGAAGATCCACCTCATTGTAAACCAGATGGTAATTTCTTGACTCCTCCCTTTCCTCTTTTTTTTTTTTTCTTTCGTTCCTCTTAGTGTCGGGCTTTATTTACCGGTTATTGTTTTTCTTCTCATCTATTTATGGTTTTGATAATGGTGTTATTTGTTCCATGGTTCCTATTGATGATATATTGCCTCTTCTCTTCTTCTCATCTTCTTAAGCTGGTCTTTAGGAAACAACCTCTCTACCCCTCGGGTAGGGTTAAGGTTTGCGTACACACTATCTTCCTCAAACCCCACCCGTAAATTTTCCTGTGTCGTTGTTGTTGTTGTTTTTTTGTTTTTTGTGTGGCTACTTCCAATATTATATAGTAAAAACTAAGGCATTCAATTGTTATAACGTGCTAAATTACATTGACAATATTAGTACTTTTGACACGAGGAATACATATGTAAAAACTCATTAAGTTTCAACAAACCCTAAATTTAACACATAACTTTAACAGAACGAGTCAAGATTTAAATTTTGGAGTGAACTATGCTGATATTATAAAGTGTATTTTTTTAACTATATATAAGTTAAACTCGTTATATTTTAGTTCTATTTGTATATGATTTTTTTTATTCTTGAAATTCCATTTTATCAGTCTTTTTTCTTTTGTTCAGTATTTGACAGAATATACTAGTTCTCAATTGATTTATTCTCATGTGAACTTGGGTTCATTCACGTGAACAAAATGTCACTTATCTCGATGTAAAAAAGAAAAAATTATATACTCCACTTGTTATTATTCATTTTCTGACTGAATATTACTGCATTATTGAATGTGCAGGGATTCTGAAAAAGGAACATGAGGAGGGACAGAGATTTGAAGCACAAAGATAGAAGAGATTCCTTTTAAATATTAACTTTAATTAATGATAAAATATTACTTAGCCCCTGTTTGGCCATACATTTTCCTAAATTTAATTTGAAATTTATTTTCAAATCCCATGTTTGGCCATAAATTTGACCCACATTTTGGCCAAAACTCAAATCACATATTTGAAATCTCAAATTCAGCTAATAAGCTGAATTTGGGCCAAATTTCCAAAACTTGGGAATTATATACATGTTTTCCCAAAATAAAGTTGAAAAATATGTTTTGAAATCGTATGTCCAAACACATTTTCATCTTCAAACCAAACTTCACCCAAATCAGATTTTTCAAAATAAATTTGGGATTGCTTCATTGAAGGTTAAAAGTCTCTTCTTTAGATTTTAGATTGAGGGCTGTAGAGATTTTGGGAATAAGATTTCTTGCTGATTAGATAGAAATATGCTAATCTTCTAAATTTTTATCTTTTATTTTGATTGTTTGCGGGAAGGGAGCCTCGGTAAAATTGTCTTTGCGTGGCTTATAGATCATGGGTTCGAATCGTGCAGAAGCAGCCACTAACGCTTACATTAGGATAGGTTGTCTATATTATATCCCTTTGGGTACTACCCTTCTCCAAATCCTGTGTGAATATAAAATACTTTGTACACCAAACTGCCCGTTTTGATTGTTCGCGTTGATCTTGATAGATAGATTAGATAACTCCAAAGCAAAGGATTGCCTATTATCATCCTAACTATATCAACAATCTTCCATATTATCTATAGTTCATAATCTCTCCAATATGCTTATAATCTCTACATATGTCATTATTTCACATAGTTAACAAGAACAAGGAAGATTCAATTGCTCAACAACATATTATTGTTCTTTTGACCACTAGATTGTTCCTTAGGGATTACTATACCTAAGGCGTAACCACCCATGAGCATATAGAATGAGTGAGAATTCTTCACTCTTAATCAGAGGTTTTTAGTTTGAACTCTCAAATCTTTCAATAAGGAGCATTTGATCACATGCTTCGTAATAAATATTATAGTAAGTGTTGTCGTAAAGCGGAGTACAGTTCACAAAAGTACTTAAGTAGTTAAGTTTTGAAAGGTGAACAACCCGCAATACTTTATAGTATAGTCGTAAAAAGCTTCGCAGAAGAGTATTAAAGAAGGCACTCAAAAGGCCGACCACTATACCAACGACTACACCGATCTATACCAGGTCATGAGCTATAGCAAGGTTGCGCCTATTCGGACAAATCTCGACTAGTCGAGTCAGTAAATTCCAAATCCGGATAAAACAAAGGGAAAAGAAAAATCTAAATCGCTAAAAGTTATATCGCGTGAAAACACAAATATATAAGTGTAAGTAACTAGTACAACTTGAGTATAATTGTTAAACAAATTTCATAGGATGCTTGTACTAACATGGGAAAGATGGACCCCTAAACGGATAGGAAAGTGACATATGGGACTGTACAGACCTTGTTCATATGGTTGCTTTTATACAAGTACTTGATTACATTTATCTCTTATTGGACAGACTTATTATGTCGTGGACTCTCTCACCTTGTACTGTTTTTAGTCTACTGGATTGCAGTACCTGTGAACGGGGGGCACCCCAATTTTCAATCAAAAAAATGGTGGAATTGTAAGTACTTCTTCAACTAGAATTCAGGTTCGAACGGTAAGTATGAAATCACCTTTATCCAACAAGATGTTTCGCGTTCAAGTTATATATGTATGAAATTGCTATCAAACAAGAAATCTCACGTTCGAGCTATAAGTATAAAATCGCCTTGGTAGAGAGCTAATTATCCTTAAAACGAGATTTTTCAGCACGAACCGGATTCCATAATAGATACCGAATACTAAGTGGGAAACAAAAAAAAAACCAACTATAGCAACTATGCATGCGAATTTCGGATGCTTTAATTATTTGGTGGTGCCTTTTCATCTATGAAAGTGAAATTCAAGATTCATTTTTAATGGTCATTATCATCTTATTAAAACCAAAACCTACTTTTGTCCTACATTTGTGTTGTATTCTAAGGACAACAACCAGAAAATTATAAATGATAAACGTGGAGAGAGGAAAAGAATACGAAAGGGGGTCGTTATCTTGATTAGTAAAGAGTTTGGTTTAGTAGTTTAATGGCCACACAGTGTCGATTCTTTTAGCAGTAAATATTTTGCTTTGTGGTTATGACAATATAATGGTGGATTAATCTTTGTAATAAAGGCTGTGATTTTTTTTTTTTTTTTTTGGCAAAAATATGTGAATATTACCATAACAACCAAAAGTTTGTACATACTAAAGGCATCTAGTGTTTAACCAAAAAATAGGAATTTCGGTCAAAGCCTATTTTTAGAAGTACTCGAGCTACTGATAATCAAGAAATTCAATATACTCGCAATAAGAAAGGAAATTAGAGTATGAAATAGCAAAGTAATCAATAGAAAGCAAAAGAAAGTAATTGTATTCCAATAATAATCAGAACGTGTAAATGATATCTCTTTCCCTTTTATAGGAATCTATAAGTACAACGTCTTTCCCCTTTTATGACCGAATCATTATGAGCATTAATGATATTAATGAGACGTTATAATTGGTAATCGTAACTGTTCATGAAGATTCTGTAACGTTTGAGATCATTCATGCTCATTAATTGATGATTCATGAATCTTTTCTTTTTACTATCTCGATTCATTCCGCCGGTACCTCTTCATGTAACCATTTAAACTTGAACGACCATATCTTCCCCTCTCGTGGGTGATTTGCTCGTATCTATTGCAACTCGTGCCACTTTTAATGCATCTCTCCAGTTGTCGCTTTCTCAATGATCCACGTGTCTTGTAATATCAGCCAATCATAGATATCCACGTGTAATGTTTATTTTTTACCAATACAAATAGTCCCCCCACTTGCCGAATATTCTGCAATTGAATATTTGGAAGTGGTATGTATTTATGGCAGGAATTTTTGCCGCCGTTTCCCATGTATCATTACGTCTTCTCCAGAACCAACACGTCAACTGTCACTTCCATTTAATGCATGTGCCACGTGGCCTTCGTTAATTGGGTCTGCGACTCTTCGGCGATTTCTGGGGCTTTTTTACGGCAGCATCAGTCATGAAGTGACTGTTTCATTATGAAGTTTCCATCATGACCCCCTTTACATGACAGTTGCTTCTTCATATAAATACCTCATTTGCCTTTGTTTTTTACGAAAAACTTTCTACAGTGTTCTTTGTTCTCTATATTTCTTTCTCATACAACTATGTCTTTTTCAAATCCTGATCCTCGTAAAGTTGTTATAGCGGATGAACTTCCCCCTTCTTCTGCTCCTACCAGAAGTAGAAGAGGTGGCAGGTTACGCAGTTTAGGATCTGTTTCTATCCGTAGTTCTTCTTCTCATCCCAGTACTACTCCCCCGTCGTCTTCTAGAACTAGGGCTTCTTCTTCCCATAGATCTTCTGGTAGAAGTAGAGATTCTAATGAACCACTTCGTGAACCCACTGTTGATGAGATTATTCCCGCTGAACTTTCCTTCTTTACCGATAGAGAATTGATTAGAAATCAAGTTACTTCCATGACTTCTCATGATCGTGCTGGTGTTTACCCTTCCCAGATTACTGAGGGTTTAATTTCTCTTGTGCGAAGAGACTGTCATTGAAAATATGATTTCCCCATTTTAGTCCCTAATGCAAATCAAAGAATCACCTCATTCAAAGCTGGTTGTTCTTTTGTGTATGCATATCCCTTTACGTTGGGTTTTAGACCACCCATTGACCCTGTCATCATAGAGTTCTGCCGTTTCTTCAATGTTTGTTTAGGACAGATTGGTCCTATTGTATGGAGAGTCGTGGCATTCCTTAGATACTTGTCAAACTTGGCTATTTTACCCTTCACATTTTATCATCTAATTCATCTTTATTCCCCCAAGTTATTTCGTTCTAGGGTGTTTACTCTCGTGGCCAGGAGTAAGAGGGTTTTAGTGAGCCTTGAAGATGACAAGGATCATGGTTGGTATGCTCGATTCGTTGCTGCTCCCACAAGTGGGTTAGTGGGAGAAGAGAACATGCCTTTCCCAGAAAAGTGGAACTTTGCACGTAAGTTTCCTTTCATATTTTCTGTTTCTCTTCTTTGTTTTTTTTTTGTGTGAAGAACTTGCAATCTCATAGCTGTTTTATTTTTCCATTTCAGCAACCATGGAAGCTGTTGAGGAAGTCCCAGATTTCCGTGGTTGGGTAGAAATTTTTGTAATCATTGCTCCTATGGAAGAAAGGTCCTGGAAATACTTTTCTAACAGGTTTGGATGGAAAGTGAAGACTCATGGTATCTTTCTCTTCCACTTTCTACCTTGCTTTCGTACTTACTTTGGCACTTATTAACCCTTTTCTTTACTAGTTGGGGTGTGAGTGTCGCGTCGATTTCTGCTTCGAGACTCTCTTTGTCAATGGCTCAAGAGATAATCTTGAGTTCTTCATCAAAAAGAAAAGCTGAAATAGCACACAGTTCTGAGGGTGAAGAGGAGCGAGATGAAGGCTCGTTGGTTCGTAAGCCTCGAGCTAGGAGACGTATCATTTCATATGATGAAACTACTCCTCCTCCCAGTTCTGTTCCCACGCACGAACCTGAAGGTGCTACCTTAGTGAGTTCTGATGATGAAATGCCTGCCGCATCTCGTGGCTCTACTGAATAACTCTTTTCTCGTGGGTTTGATGAAGATTTCGGCTTTGTTTCTGAGGAAACGCCTCTTGCTACTTTCCGGTGTCTGTTCTAATTGATCCTCAGTTCCCTGCACCTGTTGCTACTGCCATTGCTCCGTCCGTGGCTATTTTGAATCCGTTGACTGTTCCTAATGTTACAACTTCTCATGCTGAAGTTGGTTCCTCAGGTAGGGCAATGAAAAAAGTTACCATCGAGGTTCCTGAGGATGGTAATCTTTTGAAGAAATTTGGCCAAGCTGACGTATGGCTGAAACCATTGATTGGCCCAGTTGACAAGTCAAAATTAGAGAGCCACAGTTCTTTAACGTGGATGAATGATATTGTACATTCATCTTTAAAGGTATAAGCCTTAGCTTTTTATTTTGCACGTAATTTCCTTTTCATT